GCTCAGTGTGAAGACTGTTCAATCCCCACTCCCCCCACCCCACCCCGCTCAAAAAAAGGTTGAGTTCACCCACTTGACGTTTTTATTTCTAAAGTTATTTTTGTAGGCTGGCTGGTGACATGGTGATCCCCAGTTCAACCCTCCTGCTTTATAGAGGAGAAACTGGAGGTTCAGAGGTGGGCACGCCCTGCCCAGGGTCACCCAGCTGGGGAGCAGTACAGGTTCTGAGTACAGTGGTCTGTGTATCAGTAAGGCATCCCTCCCCTCCATAGCCCGCATCCTAGCCCAAGGAGACCTGCAGTCCACAGTGCAAAGCTGATGACTTAAGCCAGAAGGTTTCCCGACTACTTGTTCTCACTTTCCCTCTACCACGGAGCAGGTGGTTTTCTCTCTGCAGAGGTGGCAGAGCCTGAAGCTCAGAGATCCACTGGGTAAGAGGCCCTCCCTGGGTTCCAGGACTGCCCTGAGCATGTTGGCTGGAGGCTCAAAGTCTGGGCAGTCCCTGTGCAGTCCCTACCTTCCCGAGCTCTGCCCATCAAGGGGAAGCAGCAGGCTGACTGCCTCCCAGGTCCCCAGGAGCCAGACCAATGGCTCTGTCTGCCCACCACAGTGCCGACTGCCTGGAAGTCAGGGAGGAAGGACACCAAGCTCTTGGCTGATCCTCTCTTGGGCAGAGGGTGTGGCCACTAGGCATGGCTTCTCACCCCTCAGGTTCTTTAGAGGAGGTTCTAGAGACCCATAGAACTCCCTGGGAAGTTTTGGGTTCCGCATCAGTCCACCCCGGGCAAAAGCGTCATTCCTGCTGGTCTGCTTACACTGTCCTCAACCCAGCCGGATCCACTTCCACCAGAGTTCAGAGAGGAGGCCTGGCCTCTATCTGGCCTTCTTTTTCCCAGGGAAGACACTCCGACTCCTTGGCTTCTCCCAGGACTTGTGTCCTTCCTCCTCAGGCCCACCTGGGGTCTGCCCAGGACAGCCAAGGCAGCCCCTCTCCCAACACCTGGGAGACGTGGTGACCGACACTGGTGGACATGCCTGACAGGGTCCCTTGGTCACAAGTGAGGAAGGACCCAGGACTGGGGAGTTTTAGTAAGAATAGCCTGACCCAGAGACTTCTCCCTTATCCCAGGTCTGGGGGGGCAGGAGCTGCTGGGGTATCTGTCTGCCCTCAGATTACTTTATTACTTCTTCTCTGCCCTGCCGGCATCCCATCCCCCAGCACCATCACTGCTTCCTCCCATTCCAGTGTCCAGCACTCTGGGGCTGGGGAAACCACCATCCCTCCTGTGCAGGGACCTGCTATTTCTGAACTGCCCCCACAAGGCCACTGAGACTCCCACTGTTGAGCCAGGCTTGTCCCCCAGAGGGGACAAAGTTTCTGTCAGGCAGGGTTGAAATCTCCCATTACCGGTGTGACTACAGATGGTGCTGGCAGTGGGCTCAATCTGAGAGCTGTCAAGTGGTACAGAGTGCGAAGGTCAAGTATGCAAGGTCTCAGTGACTCTTCTCTGGGAACACTCAACTTCTCAGGGTCACTGCAGGCCAGGACAGAAGCTCAAGCAAGGAGGCCTTGGTGGCCGATGGCACCACAAAATAGGAGCCATTTAGGGATGTGCCCTCCATAGGTGAGGGACAGAGGTTTCAGGCCCCATAAGGTGAGAAATGTACCTTGGAAGCAAGAAGCCATGGGGGTTGGATTGTCCTGGCAAGATATTAAAGGGGCAGAGTGGGAGGTGGGTGTGGGGCACAAGGTTTCTACACGGATGGTGTTTGGATGATTTATTTTCTTCCATGCATGTCAAGGACCCAACTAGATAGATGACATGATCTAAATAAAAGGGTTTTTTTGGTACTGGGGATCGAACTCGGGACCTTGTGCTTGTGTGCCAGGCGCTGGAACCACTAAGCTAAATCCCTGGCAAAATAAAAGGGTTTTAAATGGGATGCAGGGAAGAACCTGCTTGCTGTGTGGGGGTCTCCCCAGGTGACCATGGGAGTTGTGGATTCTCCAGTGAGAAGTCGAACGTTATATATTAGATGCCCACCAGTCTGGTTCGGAGATGGGGCATCCAACTCTATATAGGGGGTCTGAGCCCAGCAGTGAGTGGGAGGGGTAGAATGGAGGTGCGGAACAGTGCTGACCCTGCCGGTTTGCCTTCCAGCTACCTCCTACCTTGGTCATCAGGAAGGGAGGTTGAGACTGAACCCCTCTTTTGAAGGGAGGGTGGGGAGGCCCCAGGATCCAGGGCTGACCCTCTTGCCAGGGACACAGCCTCACTGCGAAGGAATGGGTGCCCCAGGCAGGTTCCGGAGAGCTGCGGCCTGCGCACCTCCTTCCCTCCAGCTCCCCGTTCCCGCAGCCCAGGGAGCTGCTTCCTCTCCGCCAACAGGGTGGGTGGCAGCGTCAACCCACAGCTAAAGGAAGCAGGAGAAAACTCCTTAACCTCCTGGAACAGTCCAGGGGTCTAGGACAATCACTGCTAGGGCTCTTCCGGGCTCAGTTTCACACTCCCTGCCTGGAGGCTTAAGGCCTAAGGTAAGTTTCCCAGTACTCAAGCACTGGTAGAGCAGGATGATGAGCAGGGTAGCAGCGTAATGGGGTCCTCAGTCCTCACCCCGCCCCCCAGCTCTGTCCCAAATGCAGGCTTTGCGGGCCAGACTGGTTTGGCGGTGGGGAGGCCCTTCGTGCCTCGCCTAGCCCTAAAGGAAACGACTGACAAGTACCGGCTGGGCTGTCTTCAAGGCCGGGAGGAAGCGGCGGCAGGGAGGAGGAGGGTGCGTGCCCAAGCTTGACTCTGGGAGCCGCGCTGCTCACCACATGGAATCTGGGAAGTGGCCTGGCTCCTGGCCCTCAGAACCCCGTGATGCCCCTCTACCTCCAGTGGTGTGGGTTCCGGGCAATGGCCCTGGACGGATTTCCCTGGAGCCCCTCGACCATGAGCAGAGCATCTCCCAAGCGTGCTGGCCCAGCTGCCCAGTACGGGGCCTCCCGCCGCAGCCCGGCGCTGGATGGCTGGGTGCCCTGGGAAGCGCAGCATTCACGCCTGGCTGCTTGGCGGCAGGCGCTGGTGTGGTGCCCTGCCAGCTTCCCTGGGCCCCGGGTGCCCTCACCTTGAGCTGGGACTTGGAGACCTTGCCACTCTTCTCCACATCCAGCGCAGTGAAGGCATACCAGATGGACTTGAGCAGCTCCTTGCGTAGGGACATGGCTGAGGCGCCCGCCCGGCCCAGGGGCGGCTCTGACACCAAGATCCGGTTTCAGGAAATGCAAACGGCTGCAGACCGCAGAGGCGCCCTGATGCGGAGCAAGAGCTCCACCTGCCTGCTTGCTGAGCTTCGAGCTGCCTGTTGCTCTGGTGGTACTCAGGGCCCTGCACCCTGCCTGGAACTGACCGACCTTCTCAGGGCTGCAGTGCTCTGACCAGCCTTCTGATCTGCCGGGCTGCTGGGCGCATGAGGGCCTTTTTAAAAGCCCTGCCCTAGGGCCAGGGATTTAGCTCAGTGGTGCCGTCACCTGCCTGGAAAGCGCAAGGTCCTGAGTTCAATCCCTGGTACAAAAAATTTAAAAAAAGCCCTGCCCCAGAGGCAGTTCACTTAGGGGAAAAGCAAGCCCACAGTGACTGTGGTCAGGCTGGGAGCAAGGCTTACTAGGTGAAAGGCCTCGGATAGTTACTTAGCCTCCTAGAGCAGTTTGCTCTGTGTGATGTATAAAACACCAGCCTCCCAGAGTTGGAAGGCTGACAATAGTACACAGAGTGGAGTCTAGGCCCGGGATTTAGCTCAGTGGTTTTGCCGCCCGCCGCACAAGCGCAAGGGCCTGAGTTCAATCCCCAGTACCAAAAAAAAAAAAAAGAAAGGAAGGAAAAAAAAAGACTTTCAGCAGAGTGGACTCTAGTTAAAGCATCCCTTTTGGTGCCACCTAACAAAGGGGAAGAAAACAAAGTGAGCCCCACCGAGCTGGAGGAGGAACTGGGCCAGGGCACCCCTCCAGGTGAGATGGACTTGGCTCCCCAGGCCTGGCAATGGCAAGGCACTCAGAACGCTGCCGACTCTAACTGAAACCTGCATGGGGCCCACCTTGGGTGTCCCAGCAGGGCAGCCTTGGGACTCACGGCCCTGCACATCAGTGCTGCCATTCTATTAGACCCAGTGCCCTCATGGGTGAGTCTGTGGGAGAAGCCCGAAGGTCAATGTGGAGACAGCTTCTTCTGGTCACACCCCAGTTCCTCTGCCTCCAGGGGGTTGATGGCAGGGATAAATGGGAGCTTTTGGGCATCCATTCAGGGGAGGGGCCTCCATTCTCAAGAGTAGGAAGGGGCTCGAGGAACACTCATCGCAGTAGTGAGAGGGAGGGGGAAGAAGCGCCCAGTTCCCACAGTGCTTCCATCCAGGTGGGGTCCTTTCCACCTGTACCCCCTGCACCTACTCCTGCAGGGGCTGGCCCATCCCTCACTTTCCAGTGGGGCCTATGTCTTAGGAATCCCACAGCACAGCAGCCCTAGACACCTAGGAGGCCCCACCCCAGGAGCAAGGTAGCAAAGCCAGGACTGTAGCACTGGAGCATCAAGGCCTCAGAGAACCTCAGTAACGAGGGCAAAGGCACCTCTCAGCTTGTTCTGATCTGGGCTCTGCCCTCTTGAACCAGCTGGCTGTGTGTGGTCAGGGGTGTCCGGGGCAGGAGGGTCCTGGGCTACATTCTGCCAAAGTAAAGGAGAAAAAACCTAGTTCTTCCAGCTCGACCAGCCTGAGGCCTGGGATCAGCCAGAGCCTGCAGGTAGTGGTTATGCTGGTCCTAACCAGCTGGCCTAGAGTCCCCTGCGCAGGAGTGGCAAGAAGCCACCGACAGCTCCTCGTCTTACACTGGGCCTTTCTCCCACTGGCATCGCCTACTGCTCAGGCACTGAAGCTGAGCAGGGGTTGTGCCAGGGAAACAGGGATGAGAGCTGGCCTTGACCAGCCCTGCCGCTAGCGCTCTGTGCTGGAAGGATGGAGGAGCCTAGTGGAAACTTGGAACTTTTATTAAATACTCATTCACCCATTTTCCACCACCACCCAGAGCAGGAGGAAATATAATTGTCAAAGTGGAATTTTAAAAAAAACTCACAAAACAAATGAAAGCCAATCCCAGCAGTCTCTGCACAGGGCCACTCCCTGCCTCTCTGCCACAGATTGGGGGGAGCTGGGGGTGATGGGAGCGGGACACCTCTACTCCAGCCACAGGCCCCTGAGCAATTAATTCTGTCTATGGTGGCAGGAACGCCAGTGCCAAGGGACAAGGCGCCTCGGCTGCCTCCAGGGAGGTGGTTATTGCTAGGAGGGACGGGGCTGGGCCTGCTTTGCCCCGCTGGGCTGCAGAGCTGCCTGCCTTCTCCCACATGGGCCGAGACCAGTTTGGGTGGAGGCCAGTCCCCACCACAGCCCCACTTTCCACCTGAGAAGAGGAGTGGCCCAAGACAGGAAGGGTGTGCCCTCCTCTGGGAGGAGTGTGGGCAGCCAGGGCAGCCTGGTGCAAGGCTTGTTCACTCCTCACTCCCGTTGCCTGCTGCTGAGCCTTCCTCCAGGGCAGGACCTCCAAGCTCTTCAGTTAGGCCACTTTCTGGCTGCCTTCTCATCCCAGAGACCTATGTGGCTGCCTTCTATGAGTCAGCCGCCAGCTGAGCCTTCGAGGCAGGGCTGCCTGCACAGGGTAGCACATCCTCCAGCACGGTGTGTGCCTCCCCTCTTGGCTCAGCAGCTGCTCTCCGTCACTGCTGTCTCCAGGGTCACAGCCCCTTGCTGCATGGCAGCAGTGGCCACACTGATGGCCTCCTCCAAGGTCTGCTGCTCCTCCAGCTGCAGAGAGGGGTGTGGAAGGAGCAGGTGTGAGATGGGGCCTCTTGGACTCTAGTGTTAACACCATGTGGCCCACCTGTCTGCACCTCCTCCATCTAAGGGCCACACACTGGGCTCTTGGCCGGGCCCCCACAAGCAGGAAGTTCACAGATACGAGTCTTAGTGCTGAGGCGTGGGCAGGGACCACAGAGGGCCCACGGTCAGAGAACTGCTTGCTCACAGAACTGGCCGGAGAGCACCTCCATGACATCTACTTTAGCTGCTTCATCTCCCAGGTGAGAGAGGCATGAGGTGAAGGACTGGGGCCACAGGACTGCCATCGGTTACCCTGAAGGCCAAAGGGGTCTCTCCATTCTGCCCCAGCCTAGACAGAGCCTAACACAGGCGTGTGGATACAGGCAGAATAGGATTTGTCCTCTGAAATGGGCTCTTTTTTGGTACTGGGGATCGAACTCAGGACCTGGCCCTTGCAAGGCAGGCACAGTGCCACTGAGCTACATCCCCGGCCCCATGAAATGGGCTTTTTTTTAATGCCTGATGCCCTTTTCCTCAAGATCACCACCCAATTTCCTCATCTGCCCATTCCCTTCCTTGGTCTGGGAGCCCCTTTCCTTCCATTTCTACCCACCTGTACTGCGATGTGCGTTCCGTTGGCTGTGGCCAACAGTGCCACCTGCTGATGGTGAAGGGATGCTACACTCGAGTCCTCGGCCACCACAGCCCCAGAGGTAATGATTGTGACCTGCAACGCAAAAGATCTTCCACCCACCTGCAATATCCTCCCTCTCCACAAGCCAAGTAAAAGGCCTCCATGCCAGATGACTGGACCAAACCCAGAAGGGAATGGATAAAACCACTGTGGGTCAGATGGATTAGCTTGGGGTGCACAGCTAAATGAAGCTGAGTTTTTCTCCAACTCAAGAGCCCAACTGAATGTAGGAATTCTGAATCACCAAAGGACAGACCTATAAAGACCCCAGAGATAAGTCAATCCCCTGAGCTGAAAACGGACCTGGAAGTCTATGGGGAAGTGACTTGCCTAGAATGGCAAGGGAAAATAGGGCTGTACTGAGGTTTAGAAACTCTCTTGATTCATCAAATGCTTTTAAAGATGAAAATTTCTGTGGACCAGAAAAGCTAGGGGACTCTGTGTCTTTCTAAAAGGCTGGACAAGTCTGGCCTGAACAGTTTTGTTTTTTTTGGTACCGGGGATTGAACTTGGGTCCTTGTGCCTGCACAGCGGGCAGCGAAACCACTGAGCTAAATCCCCAGTCCTGGGCTGAACTTTTAACGCCCGCCCCATGAAAAGGGTAGAAGAGAACAAGAAACCCCCAGCAAACCGCCTGGTCATACGGGCTGCGTCTGCATGCCATCGGCGCTGACCATGGTGACCGTATGTGTGCCAGATGTGGCCAAAGCATCGTCATGACTGGGGATGGCAAGGGTGGTGCTGCTGTGCTGGGCCACCACACTGATGGCACTCCCCAGGGCCTGCAGGTCTTCTGGGGACAGGCTGACCTGCGACAGGAGGGAGAAGGTGAGCTGGAGCCCAGAGGAGGGTGGTCTGGAGATGCGGCTGCCTTCCCGAGAAGCTGAGCTTCAGCTCTTGGGGGTGGGGACAAGCAAACAAAGCAGGGCCAAGGCTACAGAGAGGGACACTAGCAGAAGTCTACTGACCACTTCTATTTTTGGTTTTTTGTCAGTGTTGGGAATTGACCCCAAGGTCTTTGCACTGACCCACATCCCTAGCCTTTTACATTTTGAGATGGGGTCATGCTAAGTCACTAAGTTTTCCAGGCTGGCCTCTAACTTGTGATCCTCCTGCCTCAGCCTCCCAGAGTGCTGGGATTACAGGCCTGTGTCACCATGCCTGGCTTGACCACTTCTATTCACCACCACTTTGGCTCTGGCCCCTGCTGTGTGCAGCTCAGGGTCTCCTCTGAATTCTGTCCTCCTGACAACTCTAGAAGCACAGGTGTGCTGGGCAGTGCAGGTGAGGACAAGGCTGGCTAGCAACACTAGAGGGACTGCCAGACTTCGAGACTTCTGCACCAACGGGTCACTCCCGAGAAGACACCCCACGTTCACCTCAGACTGCCAGGGCCTGGCAGCCTCCAAGAAGGAAACTACTGACCCCGCCCTAGAGGGTGAGATGGAGCTGGGGGCACGAGGAAGGTGGGCTTACAGTCTGGTCCCCTCAGCCTAAGCTCTCTGAGGTCCGTAGAGCTGTAAGAAGAATCTGGGGAGGTGGGGCTGGCCAAGCTTCAGGGCTCCCTAGAGTCCCCAGAGAGAGGAGTGGTCCCCAAGGCTGGTACCTGCTGGGCCCCGTCCTGAGTGATCAGAGCCACCTGGGGGGCCCCATCCTCCTCAGTCGCCATGGCCACTTGGGCTGAGACGTCATCACCTTCTTCCTTCACCTCAGAAAGGTAAGCGATATGGGCTCCCGTGGGTGGCGGGCTTTCCTCGGTTACAGAGGCGGCTAGAAGAGAGCCCAGGCTGCTGAATGCCACCGGATGCCACAGGAGCCCTCAGTTCTCCTGTGTCCCTCTCCCCGGCCTGCCCTCACCCTCCAGCTGCTGCTGCTCGTAGAGGGCCTGCTCGCTCTCCTCAGTGGCCTCCAGCTCGCCGTGGGCACTGCGCTTGTGCATGGCCAGGGTGGAGGTCTGCCGGTAGGTCTTGCCACAGCTGCTGCAGGTGTAGGGCTTGCAGTGCGTGTGCACCACGTGGTGCTTATACAGGCTTGAGTACTCGGTGAAGCGCTTCCCGCAGCCTGGCACCGTGCAAACGTATGGCTTCTCCCCTGGGGACACTGGGCTGTGAGGGGGGCGGGACCTGGGGCTGGCAAAGGGGAAACTAAGGGGACAGGGTGAGGGACAGGGTTGGCGGAGGGCGAGCCAGAAGAGGGGAGAGGGGCTGAGACCTGAGGCTTCAGATGGACAGAGTCGGGGAAGGTGTGGGCATGATGAGGAGGAGAGAAAAGAGGCATGGGCAGGGCCGGGCGAGAGAAGGGCGAGGGCTGGAGGTGTGCGCTGCAGTGGGAGGGCGGAGGCGGAGTGGAGACTGAGGTGTTGGGCCCATGGGGCGGGGCACACAGAAGGCTGGCCGGACGCGTGACAGCGGATGAGGGGAGCAGCTGAAGGTGATGCTCCACTCTGCCTCCTCCCCACCGCTCCTGACCCTGGCCCCTTCCGGAGCTCAACCTCACGGAGGGAGGGGAAGACTGGGACGTACAAGGGCAGCTGGGAGCTGAGGGGTCCCACAGGAGGTCCTAACTGTGCTCATCGCACGTGAACTGGCGAGGGTGGGGACACACGCGCCCAGAGAACAGCTCCAGCCAAGAGCTGGGATGCATCTTAGAGCAGAAGCCCATGGCGGAGGGAGCTGGGCCCGAGGGGTCCTCGCATGCCACCCGGCCCACCTGTGTGGATGCGCACGTGATTCTTGTAGTTGGTGGCACTGGTGAAGCCGCGGCCACAGTGGGGCTCGGGGCAGGTGTAGGGCCGCTCACCCGTGTGCGTGCGCACATGTACCTTGCGGATGTTAGACGTGGTGAAGGAGCGGCCACAGCCCTCGAAAGGGCACCGGAATGGGCGTTCACCTGAGTGGGAGGGAGCCATGCAGCAAGGAGGGGACGGCACAGGCTCCAGGGCCGAGCATCGCTCCCCATGCCGTGGGGAGGCAGGACCCAGCCTACCAGTGTGGGTCCGGACATGCTTCTGCAGGTCTCCTGAGGTCTTGAAGGCCTTGCTGCACAGCTCCTCTGGGCACTTGTATGGCTTCTCGCCCGTGTGTGTGCGAACATGGCTCTTCAGCCCATAGCCTGTCCATGCATGCGATGCGGGGTGGAAGGGCAGCAGTGGGACCTCTGGCTCTGCTGCCCACTGTATTTAGAGGGTCTCCATCTAAACTGTGCTCTGGGGGGCTGCAGAAGCCCCACTGGCCTCTATCCTAACCTGCCTGGGCAGATGGAGAGGACAGAAAAGCCCACTCTGCTCTCCTGCCTGTTCCAGAGCAGGAGCCCAAGAGGCTGCCTAGGGCAGCTGTGGCTAAGGTCCTGTTTCAGAGGGGACAGTGAGGCCCAGGGACAACATGGTCCCCTCAGCTGACACGAGAGGCAAGGTCTCTCCACCTTTATCCTAGCTATGCCACCTTTCACATCTGCAGCAGGGCGTCCTTGGGGGAGCACCAGGGGGTCAGAACACTCATAAGAGTTTCCCTGACAGCAGCCTGTGTTGGGGTCCCCTCAAGGAGGCTCTGGAGCTCATCCAGAATCTTCTGCCCTCAACCGGAAGTGGTCTACCTTCAGTCTCCAGCCAGGGGTTTACCTGTGGCAAAGGCCTTTCCACAGCTGGGGAAGTCACACCGGTATGGACGGTCACCTGTATGAGCTCGCTCATGTACCTGAGGATAAGCAATAAGCACATAACTCAGAAGGACAGGGTCTGAGCGGGGCTCTCTGGTTCCCTTCCTCCTACACTGTTCACACGTGTCACAGCTTCCTGCTTGGGTATTTGTCTCTTCCCTCCAGGAGGTAACATGCAACTTGAGGGCACGGACGAGTGCTAGTGAGAGCACAAAGATAGGACAGTGGCTTAGCAGAGAAGAGGGCAGAGCGAAAGCTGCCTGCCCACCACTTACCTTTAAGTGATGTGCGGTAGTGTAGAGGCGCCCACAGCCCTTGTAGCCACAGCGAAAAGCTCTGTCTCCAACCTGCTGCCCTTTGCCATTATGGGGAGCCTGGCTGTTGTGCAGAACCTAAGGAAAAATCTTGGAGTTCCTACATGTATTCTCCCCGTTGAAGGGAGCAAAGGGGTAGAATACAGGGCCCAGCTGGCAGCCTAACAGCCAATATGCAGAGTTAGACTGTCAGGGCCCTCTAGGGCAGAGGGTCACATCCAGACAGACAGGGGCAGACATTCAGGCATGCTGAGAAGAAACAGGGTTGGCATGTGGAGTCATCACCCACCTCTGATGGAAAGAGGGAGGACTAAATGTCATGGGGCTCTGACAGCTACTGTGGAAAGGGTATCTCCTTGACGGCTGGGTGAGGTTGTCAGGGTGGCCACCCCTGAGCAAGGCTGGTGCCAGAAAGCCCCTTTTCCCACATGCCTCTAGGAGGCTGCCACCTTGACACATCAGTCCTGATGTGGGGAGGGCGCTTCTCCTGGTGGAAGGCTGATCAGGAGCACGTGAAGGGGCTTGCTGTGGGATGAACTCACCCAGGTCCAACTGGCAGGCCAAGGGGCCCAGGGGTGGCAGCTATAACCAGAAGTGCCAGGAGAGGGGACAGAAGTCTCAGCTCTAACCACAGAGTTCAGGTAATGACAAGGCCTCCCGCTCCATCTCCTTTCCTGGGAACATGGCTACAGCCACCCATAGGATGCCAGCCTCTGGCCACCCGGAGCCCTTACTGCTTTTCTGTTTTCCTAGGCCCCATCCTGGCAGGACTGTCCCTTAGGCCCTCTTTCTGGGATACTGAGGGTCACATTCTGGTCTTTCCAGGAGCGCCTGAAACAACTCAGAAGTCACGGTGAGCAGAGGACAGGGTGAGGCCCACTCGTGGTGAGGTCGATCTAATCCTGCTCCAGGTTAGAGGTGTCATGGGGGACATAAGCAGCTGGTGTGTGTGTGGGGGGGGGGTCACAGGCAGCTGGGCTTGTGGGCCAGGCTAACCCACATGGACTCACAGATCTCATCCCCATCTCACCTGCTCCTGGACCATTGAGAGAATCAAGGATCATCAGGGCTGGAAGTGACCTTTGGGTCAGCTGGTCCCTCCTCATGGTACTGGAGGAACAAGCTGAGGCCTGGGGGGAGTGACTGACTCTCCCAAGGTTGGACTCAGCGGTGAGGCAGCACAGATCTCAGGGCTCATGGACAAAATATAGCTCAGTTCTCTTCCCACCAGCACCTGGCATCACATTTGAATACACTTTGGGGAACGGGGTGGGGGAGTGGGTATGGTACAGAATGGGCTGCTATCAAGTTTTGTGCTTTGTTTTGAACAGACATGAAGACTTCCTCTCTTCCTCTACCTCACAGCCATTGTTGTTTTATGAAAACAACTCCTCAGGCCAGGGATTTAGCTCAGTGGTTCCGCCACCTGGCCTGCCTCACAAGCCCAAGGTCCCAAGTTCGCCGGTACCAAAAAAAACAAAAAAAGAGAAAAGAAAGAAAGAAAACAACTACTGCCCAGTCTCTGGGTAAACCTCGCTTTGGGAAGCTCTGCCTCATCCCCAGGCTCTGAGTCCAACCTAGGTGGGAGCATTGGATTTGGGAAGCCCACGGATCTCTGCTCCTGCTCCCCAAAAAGGCAGGGCCTCGGGTCCAGGAAGCACACACAATGACTGGTGTCTGGAGAGCCGGGACGCTGTCCTTCACAGCCGAGTTCCTGTGTGGGCCTCAGGTCCCAGCTGCTTGCTCCATATGCCCTGCTCGCTGCCTACTGAGCCTATTTTCCCACATGACTCAATGAGTTGCAGAGGAGAAATAAATGTAAGAGCTTCTGACTTTAGTGGATTGGAAAACTAATCATGGGCCCTGGGTGGGGCTTTCCCAGATAGCACAGTGGATTACTGCAGCAGCCAAAGGGAAGCTGGGCTTAACTTCCCACCACAAGGATGCCGGTGCTTTGTGCCTTCCCTCTGCAGAGACAGCATAAATAAGGGCGAGTGTAGACAGCTATCAGCAGTCGCAGCCAGACAGGGACCAAGGGCTCGAGATGAACTAAAGGGATGAAGGGAGTAGCCCAGCTTGTGTTCGAGATGTGTGCGAGCACGAGACTGCCCTTGTCCTCCTGAGAGGCAACCTTCTGGCAGGCCAAGCAGTGCCGGGCAGGCAAGGCCCTGCTGTCCGGAGCTCTGCATGCTCACCTTGCTTGCATACTGCTCCAAGGCCACCACTGTGTCTGTGCCAAAACCCTCCTCGTCCTCCACTGCCAGGTCCTCCAAGCCCACCTCTGTCTGCACGGCCAGGATGGTGCTTTCCGGGGGCACAGCCATCGGGTGGTGGATGTAAGCAGTGGAGCCATCCTCCAGCTGGACAGCCTCCAGTGCGCTGGGGTCGTGACCCTCTGTAGGAACATGTGGTTAGTGCCGATGCCACACAGGGAAGAGACACAGCAGGAGCCTGGCAGGAAGTTAAGGACAGGTATACACAGGAGGAAGGTCTCAGCATCGAGTGGCCCCTGACCTTTGCCTTGGCGGTGCTTTCCTGCTGGCCCTCCCTCCTGCTAGGGCTGCTTCCCTGGAGGACACTGACCGGGAACTCGCTGATGACCAAGGCATCCTGGCCACTCATCCTTCCCCATTAGTTCCGGCCAGGCGGTATAGCATTCACCTGGCCTCTGCAGGGCAGAGGTGGTCGGGTCATGTAGCTGCCTCACCTGCACAAAAGCTCCCCACAGGTCTGGGGGCAACACCAACATCCTCTACCCTCTGCCCCACCTCAGCTCCTGGCAGATCCAGGAATCGCCATTCTTTCTCCCCGGGCTTCACACCGACGCATACTGTTCCTCTGTCTGGAGTACTGAGCCCTCCTTGCCGCCCTCTTCCTGTGGCTCAGTCCATTCATCCTTCTGCTCCCAGCTCCAGCACTGTTTCCCAGAGAGCAGCCCCCTACCCGAGCCTGACCCCTGTCTGTAACGATCAGTTCAGCAGTGATACTGTTTCCCTCACTAGACTGAGGGTGAGCAGGATTTGTCTTTGCCCTTTTATTTTCGGGTACCCCGGGTCCTTTATCGCTGAGGTATCTCCTCAGCCTTTTTATATTTTGAGACAGGATCTTGCTAAGTTGCCCAGGCTGGCTGAACTTGCATACTCCTGCCTCAGCCTCCACAGTAGCTGGGATTACAGGCATGTGCCACCACACCCAACTTTAATTTCATTCTCTGCTGTACTTTCTATGCCTACCACATTGCCTGGTTTGGAGTAGCTGTCAAGAAGCTACTTGTAGAAGGACTACATTGTTATTCTTTTTTTTTGGTACCGGGGATCGAACTCAGGACCTTATGCTTGCAAGGAAGGTACAGCGCCACTGAGCTAAATCCCCAGCCCTACATAGTTATTCTTTATAAATGTAGTGTTATTCTTCAGTACCCTATGAGCTTAGTTTTTTTGAGTCAAAATCTCACTATGTAGTCCAGGGTGGTCTTGAACTATGTGGCCCAGGCTGGCCTCAGACTCATGGTGATCCTCTTGCCTCCGCCTCCTGAGTGCTGGGATTACAGGTGTGCACCACGCCTGGTGTCATTCTTAAATATTAGTTGAATTACTCCTGTCCTTGGGTGATGGCCTCGGGTCCTATTCAACGCCCTAAGACTTTGGGCCTGTGCTGAAGCCAAAGCCACCACTGAGGCCCAGATACTGACCCCAAGGCTCAGCCTCCTGGTGGCAGAGACCAGCCGCTCCTGTGGCCTGCACCAGGGAAGTGGGGGAGGCTGCTTGTCCAGGTAAGGAAGTACTGTGTGTGCTTGGGGATGACAGCGCCCAGGTCTACTCCGACTCCTAGGGTGTGTCCCTCTGTCCCCCACCCCATGCCAGTTCTGTGTCCTCTCCTTCCCCACCAGTGGTGATGACCAAGGCCCCACCTTTGGGTGTGCGGTGTATGTAGGCCACAGTGCCATCTTCCAGCTGCACTGGCTGTCCGTCCTCAAAGGAGAGAGATTCTGTAATGAGAGCAACGACAGCCTTTCTCTGGAGCTCGGGGCCATGGGGTTCCCTCAGTGAGGCCTGCTGGGCCTCCCTCCACAGTCAGGGTGTCGCAGTGCCCTCACCTTTCTGTACTGTCACTTGGTGAATGTAGGCGGTGGTCCCATCCTCGAGCTGGATCAATTGCCCTTCGAGCAGCTTCTCCCCTGTGGAGGTGGAAGCAGAGAGAAATGGGCCAGGCCCCGAAAGGACTGAGGCTGGCCTCTTCCTACCAGAGGCCCCTTTCAATCTCTGGGGACCAGCCTTCGGTCGAAGCACAGGTAACACTCACTGTTTCCCTTGTTTGCTGCCTCCCTGGGCCTGGGCCTCGGGGTAGAGACATCCTCCCATGCAGGGATTTTACTTCTCTAACAGACTGTCACTCTCAGGAGGAGTAGCTTCCTTTATTATTCTACCCATGCCCAGCAAAGGGCCCTGGAACCAGGCTGAGCCTTCTGAGTTTAAATGCCAGGTTTGCCTCTGCCTAGCTGTGTGACCTTGGGTGTCTTATTTAACTGGGGATGTGATCAGGCCTCAATAAACTTTAGCTTTTACTGTAATAAGCCTAATGTGCATTTTGAAGGAAATGGAAAATAAAGCAATAGGAAACTATGTGAGTAACTGCTATGCTATGTCTACCTACATTTCACCCCACTGCCACTCTTTACTTGTGTGTCCTTAACTGATATGGGATATTTTCATTTCAAGTTTTTAATACAAAATTGAGCCACATAAAGCAAAACAACCAGCATTGTAAGAAGTAAGCCTCCAGGGCTGGGGATTTGGCTCAGTGGTGCCGCCGCCTGCCTCGCAAGTGCAAGGACTCGTTTGATCCCCAGTACCAAAAAAAAAAAAGAGTTAAGACTCCAGATTTCCTCAGATATTACCCTTCCTTTATATTACTAGAAATCACATCCTAAAGGCTCCTGGAATTAGAAAGAGATGCTCCTCTCTCCCACCTCATGTGCAGTGACTTTTGAGAGCTGGGGAAGGAAGAAAGGAAGTGGGAAGGGAGACTGAAGAGTTCCTGACATGTGATTTGCCTGTCTCTCTCTCTCTTTTTTTTTTTTGTACCAGGGATCAAACTTGGGACCTTGCACTTGCGAGGTAGGAGGCAGAACCACTGAGCTAAATCCCTGACCCAGCTTGTCTCTTTCTTTACAAGTTTCAGGTTGGGAACTTGAGCTTTAGGAGAAAGGAAAAGGATGTGCTGGCTGCTTCTATCCCAGCTCTCTGCTGACATCGATCACCTCTTCAGGGGAATCCCCAAACTTGTCCCTAGGCTGTCTTCTTGGGTCAGTAACTGTCCTACAACCAACCCGGCTAAGGCAGGCGCAGTGAGGAGCCTAAGAGGCAGGAAAGGGAGCTGAGATGAGGGGGACCACTCGAATCTCTCCCACTCCAAGTGTGGGAAGCCACGTGCACTCCCTTTCTTCCTGGCAAGGGCACTGGTACCTGGGCTTCTGAGAGCACTGGCAGAGCCACGGCCAGCAGAGTGTGGACAGCTGCAAGGCAGGAAGCAAGATGCAGAGGAGGAGTGTTGGAGGAAGGATTTTAACCTACAACTTCCTCTAACAACCAGGCAGGTCAGGAGAGCTGCTGCCCAGAAGGGGCCTTGCATCTCACTGCAGTGGGACTGCAGTCCCACTGGCCCAGAACAGTCCCAGTGCATTTATTAACAGCATGTTCTTCCACTCTCAAAAGTTTCGGGTTTGAATGATCACCCTAATTACAGCTAAGTCTTAGGGCTCTCTTGGTGGGGAAGCTGGGCACAGACAGCATCAAAAGTGTTTCAGTCACAAGCTTCAGCACTCTGGGAGGCTGAGGCAGAAGGATCACAAGTTTGAGCCCAGCCTGGGCAATTTGGTGACTTTGAAGGTAACAGGAAGACCCTGTCTCAAAATTAAAAATAAAAAAAGGGCTGAGAATGTAGCTCACCGTGAAGGCTCTGGGTTCAATTCCTAGTACCACAAAACAAGCCTTAGAGGAGCTTCCCAGGCAGTGGGAAATCTGGAGTGTGTGTGTGTATGCATGTGCGTGGAAATACACTGCAACACTACAGAAGAGGAAGCAACAGAGCCAGGCAGAGTGATGAAAGATAAACAGGAGGTGGGGAAGGCAAAGAGACTCAAACTTAAGAAAGGAAGATATGCCGGGGATGTAGCTCAGTGGTGCCACTGCCTGCCTCAAAAGTGGAAAGTCCCAAGTTCGATCCCCGGTACAAAAAAAAAACAAAGGAAGATATAAGAGTGGCTTTCTCAGGTCAGATGTGTCACCTGGTTTTTAATTCATTCATTTCACCCATTAATTCTCAGTGGAAGACAGAGGTTTAGGAAATAACCGACTACGAGGAGTACACACAGTCACCATATCTAGAGATGCAAATTCTTCCACCCCATCAAGACTGCACCAGAGGGACAAGGCCTGTGGTGGGAAGTCTGAGGTTTCAGGCTTCCTCAGTCTTGTAGAAACAGTCTATTTTCCAGAGAATGAAGCCAGAAAGAGCACAGAGATCACAAACAGCTCATGATAAGAAACCATTCCCGCAATGTCTTATGCAAAGAGCTTAGTGATGACATTAAGGGCATCTTTAGTCACCACCAGTAAACAGACAACTTAAATAAAATCAATAAACAATGTATCTGTGAGCCTAGGACTGGAAATTTATTCTGGCAATGTGTTGAAATGAAGGGGGGCAATGTTCCAATGACAATGTGGTTGCAAGAACAGCGATGTTCACAGAATCCAGAAAAGGTCAAGTAAAGAACAGGAATAGCAGTCTCTACCCAGCACAGTCCAAGAAGACACAAATACCAGCTGGCAGGCCTGAGAATGATGGCAAGAAAGGAGGGGCACTCCTGCCTGCAGGCCCTGCCCTAGACAGAGCTCTCTCCTCTCCAGACCTACCTGGATGTAAAGTTCCCTCACAGTGGGGTCAGGATTGTCACATAAAATACATGATTCCCAGGTGAGTCTGAATTTCAGATAAATGACAAGTTATTTTGAGTATAGGCTGAGTAACCCTAAAATGGAAATCCAAAATCTGAAATGCTCCAAAATCAGAATGGATTTCAAATTAGGAATATTCGATGGGTACTGTCTAAGCAAATATTCCAAAATCTGAAAATTTCCAAAATTTGAAATATGTCTGGTCCCAAGCACTTTGGATAAGGGATACCCAACCTGTATTTCTAGTATTTTAGTATTTTTTTAGTATTTAATCCTATGCTTATACAAGTATACCCAATGCAATATTTGGAACAATATGAATTTAAATTTTTATTTTGGGGGCCGGGGATTTACCTCAGTGGTTCCACCGCTTGCACACAAGCACAAGGACCTGAGTTCGAGTTCCAGTACCAAAAAAAAGTAAATTTTTATTTTTGGCATTTACTAGTGCCAGACACTAAGGTATGAGCTCTAGGTCACCTCTTGAACCTAGAAGAGCATCCAGTATGTGGATACGTATCAGGAGATAGTTCGAGGGCTTAAACTTGCTTGAATTAAAATGATGAATGAGCTGGGCATGGTGGTACATATCTATCATTCTAGCACTTGGGAGTCTGAGGCAGGAGGGTTGCCTCAAGTTTGAGGCCAGCCTCAAGTTCAAGACCAGCCTGGGTTACACAGTGAGTTCAAGGTCAGCCTGGACTACATAGAGTGACCCTGTCTCAAAAAACAGACAGAAACCAAACAGATGATGAACTGCCTCTAGAAAGCACCAAGAAACTGGACAGGGAATATCTGAAAAGCAGGGAGTCACAACACTGCTGTGTTCATCCATGCCAGAAATATTTATGAACTACTCGCTACATGGAAGAAATTCTGTCTTTGAGAGGTCTCGGCTGCTGCAGCTGGGTAGTCTGGTTAACTAGCTTGCCTAGATGGATGGAGATTTTCTTTTAAAGAGTGTCCTTCTGGGGCTGGGGATTTAGCTCAGTGGTTTCACTGCCTGCTGCGCAAGCCCAAGGACCTGAGTTCAATCCCCAATACCAAAAAAATAAATAAATAAAGAGTGTCCTTTCCATCAGGCACCACGGAAGAGTCTCACGCAGAGCTAGCTGTGGTGGTGGGCCTAGGGAGGTAGGTGGGAAGGCAGGGTGGTTACTCTTAGAAAGGGATTCTCTCCACAGGGTGAGGGACAGGACCCCAAGGAACCTGAGGTCCCTGAAAATGCTCACCTTTGACAGCTTGCTGGATGTAGGCTGTGGTCCCGTCGCTCAGGGTCACTGTCTGCAGGCCCAAGCTCTCCATGGCAAATGGCTGCTCGTGCACTCAGACATGAAGTTGGCTTCTGGCCAGTACCAAGAGCCACAGCCGAGGTCAGAGATTTCCTTGCGGGTCACAAATCTGAGAAAGCGGTTAGTGTCACATAAAAGGTTGCACGGCTTCCTTTTGGTGCAAGGACTTAATGAAGCTAGCCAGGACAGAGACAAATACAGTGGTACCTCAGTTCATGAACTTAATTCTTTCCATGACTCTGGTCACAAACTGAATTGGTCAGGAACCCAATCAAATTTCCCCATAAGATCCACATTGAACCTAACCACTGAATTTATCCCCACCCAGACGTGGGGGGATCGTCCTTGAGTCTCTTTTCCCTCAAAATTCCAGCAGCCTATTTTAGGCAAGTACCATCTCTCACATCACAACTGCCAGACCTTCTATATCCTTGGGTAAAACCTTTCCTATCTCCAATACATTTCTACAAGCTACCAGGGATATCTTTAAAAATAAAAGTATAGAGCTGGGCATGGAGCTCGGGGGCAGAGCTCTTGCGTAGTATGCAGGAGTCCCCAGGTTCCACCTCCAGCACCATCAAAAGAAAAGAAAAAAGTACAAACTTAAACATACTGCTTCCCTGAAAAACCCTTCAATAGTTTACTATCACCCTAAGTCCACCTTGCAGACAAAGCTGAGTCCTGTTAAAAATTCTGTAGTTCTGAACAGCACCTCCTCCCAGCACTCACACCCCTGTGCTCACCTCCTTTCGTACTTCTCACTGCCTAAGATCTATGGCCTACTCAGGACTTTGGGCTCCATTCTGGTTTTGGGTTCACAGCAGTTTCTCTAGCACCTCCAGCTCTGGGTTATCCACAGACCCTCGTGTATCTGCTGTGGCATGGAGCTAACCCTAGCTGCAGACCCCACACCCACGAAGCCTGTGGGAAGCCCACCACCTCTGCTCTTGTCTAGTTGTTAAGACTCTTTTTCCACCCATCCACAGAATTCTCCTGGTCTTGGAATGGAGCTGCCTGCTTGAGCCTCATGACCTACCAGCTGATAGTCAGTTTTCATGTCAGGGCATGCAGAGAGAAGGGTATTAGTATGTCACGTGGCAGTTGCTGCTGTTGAAGCCAGAACAACCAGTTGGGGCCTTGGCAGCCTCAAGAGTTGAGCAGATCAATATTTTGGTATAACTATAGCCCATCTGTGACACCATGATTGGGATGTTCTATCCCAGGCTTGGCATCTCAACTGAATTATTCATTCATTCTGTCCACAAGCAATGAATGAGCTAAGCTCCAAGGAGCTATACTATCACTACCAATACTGAATACTATTGAAATACCAACCATGTGTAAGCAACAGCCCTATGCTTCAATGTCATTATAGGTAAGCTCTTCTAAGCTCAAGTAACTTGCTCAAGGCTGCAAAGCCAGTGAATGTGGGAAGTGGCTTTGAGCCCAGACCATCCAGTCCAGAGTGTGCTCTCAAGTTCTCTCCTGCACTGCCAAGTACAGAGGTTCTATGAAGCTGGGGGTCTTGAAATCACCTGAAAATACTTTTCTGGTGTGTGAGTCTCTGAATTTTTCAGAAGGGAAGGGAATCCAAGGCTGTCATCAGAATATTACAGGGATAAAAGCTACCAGTCAAGGTGGGAATTCTGGAACCTAACCCAACTTCTCTGGTCCTTTAGGACTCAACCCTGCTAAGAGCCCTGATAATCCTCAGTGGTTCCTATTTCACAAAAGCTCTGCCCCTGACTTCTCATGGTCTACTCTATGGCCCTCAACTTTCATTCTCTTTAAAATCAAGAAGAGAGATTCCTTTGTTAACTGTTCAGTGAAATCACATTGTGTCAGGAATAAGGACATGTAGGAGACACTTTAATCTAAAAAGAAAGTGGGCCAGGGGCTGGGGATTTAGCTCAATGCTGCCAAGGCCTGCCTCACAAGTGCAAGGTCCTGATTGATCCCCCTACCCACCCCTCCAAATAAATAAAAACAAAGCAGGCTGTAGGTTGAAAGGCCTTGTATATACTTGGGAGGCAAAGGCATGGGGATCACGAGTTTGAGGCCAGCCTGGGCAACTTAGTGAGACCTTGTATCCTTTAAAAATAAGGAGGCCCAGGGTATAGCTCAGTGGTAGAATGCTTGCCAAGCATGCATGGGGCCCTTGGTTCAATCCCTAGTACTGAAAACAACCACCACAAAAGGCATTGCAAAATGGTCTCAAGCCCTTATGACTGGGCCTTGTGGCTCCTGCAGAGGTAGTTTTAGTATGTGTGCTCTGCAGTCAGACAACCTTGTTCCAATCCACGCTTTATCTCTTAGAAGCTGTGCAGTTTTGGGCACACATAAGAACAGCTCTGAGCCTCTGATCCCAGAGATGGGTATACAAGTGGCTTCAGACAGGGTATACAACCTGCTTCCCAGGTTGCTGTAAGGGTTAAATGAAGTCACATATGTCAGCATCTGGCACAGTGCTGGCAGACAGGAAATATTCTGGAAATAGTGGCTCTGAGGAGAAGAAGTTAGAGCACCTTAAAGGGAAATGCTTTCAAAGTCTGTGTATTTCTAAAATGTAGCCAGGAGTGGTGGCCACAGCCTCAGACTAGAGGTCGGCAGAACTGGCTTCTTGTGTTGATTTCATCTCTTATGTCTGCTTCCTTATCTATAAAATGAAGCCCAATCTATAAAACAGGGCCCAATGGTCCTATAATCCTTTCCACTGCTCATGCTAACATTTATCACACATGTACTCCTTGGTGTGCGCCAGCCACTGCTCAACTCTTTTAATCTTAAAAATAGCTGCATGAGGAGGCAGATATACCATCCCCTTTACAGATGAGGTTACTAAGGCCAAGGTCCCAAAGCTACCAAGTGCTGAAGCCAGGATTCAAAGCCAGGCTGGCTGCCCTAGTGTCTGAACCTCTTGGAATCTGGCTCGCTTTTTCCTTCTGCTAATCCACTGTGACTAACACACTGTCAGCACTCAGAAACACTTGAACACAGGTTGCTTAGCTTCCACCCCACACCCTAGAACTTAAACCCAGTCTTTCTTGGTCTGCCCACCGTGAAAGGAAGGATAGCCAGTAGCCGCATTTCCCAAAATAACCCTTTCTAGGCTCAAAGAAAACAAATCTCCACTCCTTAGCATGATCTAAGTAGCCTGACTCACTCACTTTTCCTCCTTAAACCTCATGATAAAGAACTTTAAAACAGTCCACAGTCGCTCTCTGGTTTTCCCGATCTCGAAGGCTCCCTGACTACAAGGGTGAGGATGTTTCATGGCTGCCAGCACACTCCAGGGTCCTGAATGCCATTTCTCTCCCTTCCCCTCCTTTAAATGAGAGTCTACTGGCAACCAACAGCAGTGACATGGGCAGAGCCAGAGAGGCCTGCTGCACCTCAGGGCGTGCATCTGAGCAGCTCCTGCCTACCTTGGCCTTTTCAGATTCATAACTCCTGGGGCCCTGAGAAGGCAGTCGGGGGTGCAGCTCCTCCCTCTTCTCCTTGGAGGGGATAAGGTTTACCAGCGCCACAAAGACCTGAACTGGGTTCAGGGGAGAGCCAGCCCATGGAAGAGGGAAAAGCAGATATGAGTGACTCCTGACTTTCCCAGAATGAGTCCCACAGCCAGGTGTTTGTTGTACTTTTAAAAAATGAATTTTTTTTTTTTCTTTTGGTACTGGGGATCGAACTTGGGTCCTTGCGCTTGCAAGGCAGGCAACAGAACCACTGAGCTAAATCCCTGGCCCTAAAAAATGAATTTAACCCAATGTTGGATCTAATGCAGGAAACAATCCTATGGCTTCATAATATATCAATGTGTTTCCTTTTATAAAAACATGACATGTAATTATTGGGAAGAGGTAATAGGAAAGGAACTTTTTGATGCTTTGAATCTTTAGGTCTACCCACAAAATGAGATGAAGTTAAACTACTTCCTCAGGGGGCTGGGGATTTAGCTCAGTGATTCCACCACCTGCCTTGAAACTGCAGGGTCCCCAGTACCAAAATAAAACCAAAACAAACAAACAAACAAATAAACTACTTCCTCAGGGCAGAAAAATAAGGGATGTGAAAGACAGGAAACTAAAGTGCAGCCCTGGTGCCTGTGTTTCTCAGCTTTGTCATTGTTGAGGTCTAACTTGATCCATACCCACGTGCAGCTGTGGCGACCACAGACACCTGTTCACTATTCCTCACCTCTGCCACACAGAGCTCCTTGGACCTTGTACTCTGCCTCACCAGCCTGGAGGGCAACTGAGTTTAAAGCCAAATAACAAACAAACAAACACATTTGCTTGGAAAGGGAAGAATGTTCACGTTTCATCAGAAAAGAAATTATGATAGGGCTGGGGATGCAGCTCAGTGGCGCCGTGCCTGCCTGGCAAGTACAAGGTCCTGAGTTCCATCCCCAGTACTGGAAAAAAAAAATTATGTCAATTTTCACTCAGAAAATGCCTTATTTGCAAACATGGAAAACTCATAGATGGCAAACAAACACTACGTTGGGAGGAACAGAGGCTGATGGAGACAAGTGTTGAACAAATTAGGGCCAGATCTGAGAGAGCTGGAGTAGAATGATTCAGTATTTGTTATTACAGAAAAAGGCTTCAATGCACACACACAAAAAACCCCTAGTGAGGCGAGCTTAGTTCCGTGGGTTTCTAAACACTGAAGAGAAAACAGGAAATTAATAACAGAAACTTGCATTAACAGGACACAAATTTAAAACATCAGCTAAACATCTCTTTGCAAAAGGCACATTGATTTTAAAAGCCCAAATCATACTTTTGGTATGGTTCCTATTTGGCTACTGCATCTTTATAGATGTGAATTAGTCACAGAAAAGAGAATTAGGTAAAGTGGATTATTTCCAACTCTAAGAGGGCAATGATAATACAGACCCCCATTATTACCGAGTGGGATTCATTTAAACTAAAACAAATAACTTTAAAATCTAATTTTCTGCTATATATTCAAGTGAATTTTAACACCTCAGTTTGTAAACACCCAGCATGAAAATCATGCCTGGGTTTCCAACCCACCTTTAGTTAATGGAAAGTCCAGAATTGAGGCATTTTGGAAGGATCATCCTAAGGGTGAGCTCTACACCAAGAAGCAAATTAGCACAGACAGGATGAAGGTCAATCTGAATTATTCCTGCAGTTCAGCTTGGGGTCACCACGGGCCTGGGGAGAGCTGTCTGAAAATGAAACATCCCATCAGCCTGAGGAGGCACAGGGTCGTCAGAGCCACATGTTATTTTAAAAACACTCCCTGAGATAAAAAGGTTCAATTTTTATTTCATCGGTTCATCAAAATGGAACAATAACCGGATCGTAATTAGGAAGAGAAATTTTGGACTTTGGAAGCAAAAGAAAATCAAATGACGAGCTGGTTAAAAACACAGGGGAAAGTATTAAAGAAAAAATAATAAAATATATCAAAAACACAGACACACACAAAGTTCCAAAAACAATATATAATTCCTACTGGACAAATGGTAGAAAAGAATTCACATAAGCAAAAAATACCACCACCACCCCCAGTAAATAAATAGCTTTTTTTTTTTTTTTGGTACTGGGGATCGAACTCAGGACCTTGAGCCTTCGAGGCAGGCAGTGGAACCACTGAGCTAAATCCCTGGCCCAGTAAATAACTTTGAAAAAGTTTGACTCTCAATAATTAAAGAACAGGAAAGAATAATTATGATATTACTTTTTACCAAAATACAAAATACAAGTGCAAAATTCAATAGTCAAGGCTGACAAAGAAATATGCACAGGATACAATGACTCAATTAAAGAATGGGCAAGAGGGCCAGGGATTTAGCTCAGTGGTTTCTCCGCCTGCTGCACAAGTGCAAGGATCGAAGTTCGATCCCCGGTACCAAAAAAAAGAATGGGGAAGAGAAACTGAGGCAGGAGGATTGCCACGAGTTCAAGACAAGCCTGGGCTATATACATCTTGAGTTCAAAGCCAGCCTGAACTATATATTGAAATCTTGTCTCAAAAAAAGAAAGATCTGAAGAGACTGCTTAGCAAAGAAGATAAAGAGATGGCAAAAAAGCACAAAAAATAACACTCAACATTGTGTCATTAGAAAGCTGCAAATTAAAAGGTCAATGAGATACTACTACACAACTATTAGAATGGTGAAAATCTAGAACACTGACATCAAAACCTGACAAGGATGTGGAGTGACAGGAAGTCTTATTCATTGCTGGTAGGAATGCAACAAAAGGACAGGCACATTGGAAGAGTCAGTTTCTTACAAAGCCAAGCATTATATGAGGTGTGACTGAAAACTACAGTGAATGCTTAAATTTAAAAAGATTTATTACAGTAAAAGACACACTGCCATCAATCACCCTCAAAATACTCCCCCTCTCTTTGAACGAATGTATCCTATTGTTCTTGCCACTTTCTGAAGCAGTTCTGGAAGTCCTTTTTAGTTGGACTGTTGTGGCTCCCTTGATGTCCTGAACTGATTCAAAATGTTTACCTTTCATGGTCATTTTGAATTTGGGGAAGAGTCAGAAGTCATACGGTGCCAGCTCCAGTGGATAAGATGGATGAGGACACACTGTGATGTTTTCATGAGCCTGTGTTTCTGTTGGAAGGGAATCAGTGGCAGCATTCAATGTACTTTTGACCATACCTCATAAAGACACGAAAGAGGACTTCCAGAACTGCTTCAGAAAGTGGTAAGAGAGAAAAGGTGTGTTTGAAGTGAGGGGGAGTACTCTGAAGGGGATTAATAGCAATGTGTCTTTTACTGTAATAATTTTTAAAAATTTAAACACTCATCATGTATATATATATATATATTTTTTTTGGTACCGGGGATCGAACTTGGGTAGCTGCGCTTGCGCAGCAGGCAGCGAAACCACTGAGCTAAATCCCCGGCCCTCATCATATATTCTGATTACTCCTGGTATGATCCAGCAATCATGCTCTCTGGGTATTTACCCAAATAAGCTGAAAACTTATGTCCCTGGAAAAATCCGCATATAAACATTTATAGCAGCCTTATTTATAGTTGTCAAAAAAATGGGTAACAATCAAGATATCCTTCAATACGCAAACTGATACATCCCTATAGCAGAACATCACTCAGCGGTAACAATAAATGAGCCAACAAGCCCCCCAAAGACATGGAGGCACCTTAAATGCACATTGCTAAGTGAAAGAAGTCAGTCTGAAAAGGCTATGTACAAATGACTCCAATTCTATGAGATTCTGAAGAAGGTGAAACTACAGAGACAATAAAAAGAACTGGGGTTACTAGAAGTCCTGGGTAAAAGGGAGAAGGATGGATAGGTGGAGCAGCACAGGGTACTTTTAGGCAACAAAACTCTTCTGTTTGATACTGTAAGGGTGACATGACATCTTTTGGCAAAACTCACAGACTATGGAACCCAGAGTAAGCCCTTGTGTACACTCTTTACTAATACTATATTGGGGCTGGTTCAACAATTGTGACATATACATGCCAATGTAAGACGTTAATAATAAAACGAGTAGGGGAAGCATATGGAAACATATTGTACTTTCTGCTCAATATTTCTATAAACTTAAAATCACTTAGGAAAGTCTATTAATTAAAAAAAATCCAAATCCATCTACTGAAGGTGGCAAGGTGGAAGAACAGGCACAAGTGTGTCTCATAGCACTGAAGTTGCTCCAGGCTCTCAAGTGAACAATCTGTGCTTAACCCCACAGGGAAAGGTTCAGGATTCAATATCTAATAACCTCATCTTCATAATTTATCCACAAAAAGAATGCACAATAAACAGCAGCTACTCGGACAATGATTCTCGTTTAAATGTTTTAGACAAGAACCATGAAGACCATCTGGATTAATAGAGTGAGATTAACAAATTAACCATAAGTGAAAAAAAAAAAAAAGACATAAGGTTGTACATTCATCCAATTCCAACTTGCAAAAAACTCAACTCCATCTGAGACAAGACTAGAAGGGAACAAAAAGAAATGAACAAATAAAGGGGTAGAAGTCTTTAAAAATAAAATGGTCAAAGCGCTGGGGATACAGCTCAGTGGTGGACTGGTAGAGTGCTTGCCTTGCAGGCACAAGGCCCTGAGAAGATCTATAGCACTGTGAAAAAAAAAAATCAATAAAAACTAAAAATAAGATGGTTGAGACAGATACAGGTTGTGGACACCTATAATCCCAGCTATTTGGGAATGTGAGGCAGGAGGATGCAAGTTTGAGGCAAGACTGGGTAACTTAGCAAGACCTTATCTCAAAATAATAATAATAATAATAATAACAATAATAAAATAGTAATAATAAAGGGCTGAAGCTGTAGTTCAGAGCGCTTGCCTAGCATGCAGGAGGCCCTGGATTCAATCTCCTGTATTGCAAGAACCAAACAAGATTGAAATAAAAAGATGCCAACAATCGACTGAGAAGCAGCTCTACACCAAACATGCTACCTTGAAAAGCCAGTCCTTCTGTCTTTGAGGTTTCTTTTATTCTCCCCATAGCATTCCTATTATTTCCTGTACATCATTTCTCCTAGAACCTACAAAGAAAAACATCTATTCCAGTAGGGCGTGGTGGCACACACCTAGCACCCCAGCTACTCAGGAGGGTGAGGTACAACTGCAAGTTCAAGGTCAGCCTGGACAACTTAGTGAGACTATCAAAAAGTGGAAAAGGGGCCCGGGGATTTAGCTCAGTGGTTTCGCCGCCTGCTGCACAAGTGCAAGGACCCGAGTTCGATCCCTGGTACCAAAAAAAAAAAAGTGGAAAAGGATGCCAGGTGTGGTTGGTGTATGCCTATAATCCCAGCACTCAGGAGGCTGAGGTAGGAGGATTGTTGTGAATTCAAGGCCAGCTTGCACTACATAGGGAGACCTTGTCTCAAAAAACACAAAGCAAACAAAAAAGAGGGGGTTGGGATATAGCTTAGTGGTAGAGTGCCCCTGGGGTAGATTCCCAGTAACACACACACACACACACACAACACGGAGTATAAATGTCTATTAGTATGAACTTCCATATTATGTAAGACACAAATGAGGAATCTCCTAAAAACCTAGAAAGATCTAAAAAGTCCATGGAAGGACAGTCAAGAAATTACTAACCTGGGCCAAGGATTTGGCTCAGTGGCACCATGCCTGCCCTGCAAGCACAACATCCTGAGTTTGATCCCCAGTACCAAAAAAAAAGAAGAAAAGAAAAGAAAGAAATTACTAATCAGAGCTGCCTGAGGGGAGCTGAGTGACTGGGGCATGACTAGGGAAAGATGACTTTTCAATGGTTTTCTTTTATACTTCAGTTAAGCTCTGAGAATGTTTTATCTATACAAAATAAATGAAAGATTCAAAAAGCCTAAAAGCATGCTTTGCACTCCCTTTGTTGGCTCCAGGAGTATCCATGATTCCTTAATCATGAAGCACAGATAGTCAAGTGATAAGAAAGAACCTATGATGTTACAGGTTTGCAACAAAACCACTTCAGCTCACAATTCCTGAATGCCATTATGGAATTCTATACGGAACACTGGTCAAGTTGATTATAAGGGAACAGTGAGGGTAGTTCTGGCTGATGTAGGGTCTAAACAGGGACTACCCTTCTCCCTCCCGGCTCTCCCACTCCAGCCTGGTACTTCTTAGGTTTACAGGGTGGTCTCAGACAGAGTAAAGAACTCTGTGTATGTTCTGCTGAAGTGAGCACTGGAAAAGAACTCTGGTCTTAGGCACCCAACCATGTCCCTGCACCCACGCCTCAGGTGAGCCCGATGATCTCAAGAAGCCCCGGATTACTTTGTCATCTTAATTATTTGCATCTCATGCTGTATCAACCATCCCAAAGCTGAAGGGAATTCCAACAGATGAACAGTTCCAAATGGAGATCAGAGATGAACAGCTCACCGGGTGGCAAGCTCTGGGGAGTGTTAACCCACAGGCACTGGAGGAGACCCTTTGACTCACAGCAGGTTAGTCTTGCACATAAGGAGGCTTTGAGCAACCCACCCAACACGGCAGATCTCTGTGATTCCGAGCTGTAAGTCCTGTACCACTACCAGCAAAACTGATGACTGCATAGGATTTTTTTCACATTTCTATACACATTAGGTTTGTGGCTTTAGGAATCAGCACTTGAAGTAGGCTAAAGATGACAGTTTTATCTTCACTTAAGATTTGTATGTCAGGTTTTTTTCTTCCCACCCA